TGTCCCATGTGGACAAAGGCCTCTTCCAAATCCTTCCATTCATTCATTCCATTGAAGTAAATATATAACTCTTTTCAAATATCTTGGCGGCTCAAGGTCATCGGTGAGCCGCCCACTTCGTTGTTCATCCCAACGTTCTGCGCAATGACTCGCACGAAGTTTAGAGCCGCCAAGATATCTGAAAACATTTATTTTTACCAGTGGAAAAATCTTAGTATCATATAATTTTAAAACAGAATCTTACACAACTAGGAAAATAAGATTGGAAGATTTACAATACTAATGCTTTCTCTTTCTATCTCGTGTACGATTGTAATATGTGAAATGTGTTATTTTAGGCAAGGAGGAGATGCTGCAGTCTCAGGACTTCCGTCAGTGCAAGTTGTACGACATTAAGGCGCTTAAGAAGAAGCACGAGGCCTTCGAGTCCGACCTCGCCGCGCACCAGGACCGCGTCGAGCAGATCGCAGCCATCGCGCAGGAGCTCAAGTAAACACCTACCTAACTTTCATTCAGTCACTCATTCACTCACTCTTTCGTTCATTCAGTCGTTCGTCATCTTATACCATGTCATAACTACAGGTCACTTCAAATATCTTGGCTATTTAAGGTCAAGCGCACTGCCCACCCCCGCCTTTTAAGTCGCGTTACACCTAAAAATTTAAGAACACAACATCAGAAGTTCCTTACTACCAAGATATTTGTCAATCTTAATATTAATAATTGTATTTGTGTATATTCAGTACTCTGGAGTACCACGAGGTGGGTGCGGTGAACGCGCGGTGCCAGCGCATCTGCTCGCAGTGGGACAGGCTGGGCGCACTGACGCAGCGCCGCCGCCTCGCGCTGGACGACGCCGAGCGTCTGCTCGAGCAGATAGACCTGCTGCATCTGGAGTTCGCCAAGCGCGCCGCACCATTCAACAACTGGTATACACATTCACAACTTACACTTCTTCTAAACTCTCCATTAAACGTGAATTTTTGAAAAAAATCACATAAAATAGTCATCAAAATTAAAACTGTGTTGTAAATTTCACAATCAACAACTAAGTTACAATTTTAATCAGTAGATTTGTCCGAAATACAGGGCAAGTTTATTGGCACAATTTTAAGTATTGCTATCTTGTAAGGATTTTTGTGACTAATTGTGATACTATTGCAGGTTGGACGGCACACGCGAGGACCTGGTGGACATGTTCATTGTGCATACCATCGAAGAGATCTCCGGCCTTATGGATGCGCACGCGCGCTTCAAGGCCACGCTCGGAGAAGCAGACAAGGAGTACCAGGTAGGCCCATAACCCTCCTGAAGCTCTTTCCACTAAAGTGACCATAAATTATAATAACAACGTGTAAAATAATTATAAAATATTTCTACAGGCAATAGTCAACCTGGTGCACCAGGTGGAGTCGATCGTGAAGCAACACCAGATCCCCGGAGGCCTCGAGAACCCCTACACCACCCTCACTGCACACGTGAGTACATAAATCATTCAAATATAACACAACACACTATATCTTATTTCTATTCCTTATCAGCAATAAACGTCCACTGGATCTAGAGAGAATGAGATAATTAGAGTCTATCTCTATGTGACGGAATAATACGTTTTGCAGGAGCTGAATCGTAAGTGGTCAGAGGTGCGACAGCTGGTGCCTCAGCGTGACGGCACGCTGGCGGCGGAGCTGCGCAAGCAGCAGAACAACGAGACCCTGCGCCGGCAGTTCGCGGAGCAGGCCAACGCTGTCGGACCATGGATAGAGCGACAGATGGACGCCGTCACCGCCATCGGCATGGGCCTGCAGGTACACACGATTACACATTTACACCACTGTCTATATCACGTATGTATGAAATGTGTAAAAGAATTAAACGTGTATCTACAACACTAATGTGTAAACATGTATATATGCATACTCAGATACGTGTACTACACAAATTTTGGTTGATTTCAAAATGTGTACAACACGAATAATGGTCGATTTAGATATGTGTAAAACATGAGTAATGTGTCATTTAAATATGTGTACAAGATTATATTACACGGACTTATGTGGTGTGCAGGGTTCACTGGAGGACCAGCTGCGCCGGCTGCGTGAGTACGAGGCAGGCGTGTACGCATACAAGCCGCACATTGAGGAGCTGGAGCGCATTCACCAGGCTGTGCAGGAGGGCATGATCTTCGAGAACAGGTCAATATATTTTACTTAGCAACGAAATTATATTTAAAGGTTATTATTTTTAAACCAATATTGGTTTCATATATAATAAATTTGTTTTCCTCCTTTGTAGGTATTCTCAGTACACAATGGAGACGCTGCGCGTGGGCTGGGAACAGCTGCTGACCTCCATCAACCGCACCATCAACGAGGTGGAGAACCAGATCCTGACGCGCGACTCCAAGGGCATCACGCACGAACAGCTCAACGAGTTCCGCGCATCCTTCAACCACTTCGACAAGAACCGCACCGGTAAACTTTTAACTATTTAACCTATTATATTTTCCTTCGATTGCTTCTATAATAAGCCAGGCCTACTGACTCGTCTCAGAGTCATTTTTGCTCAATTAAGTAAACCCGTAGGATTTCACATAGTTCTACACTGATGATCTCTTTTAGTGGCCCTTAAAGCATTCTGGTTGCGATAGAAACTCTTTATTTAGCTCTTAGAAAACATTACATGAATTCTTGTAAAATTGATTTCAGTAAACTTTGAGTTTTTGAATACTAAGTGTAGATTTTTTATAAAAAATAATATTTTTTCCATATAAAAAGCTAACTTTTTCTTTATTGCTAAAAATAGAATTTGGTCCTTCGAGCCATATAGGCTTTAATGAAATTAACAATATTATTATTATTATTATTGCAGGACGGCTGGCTCCTGAGGAGCTGAAGTCGTGCCTGGTGTCTCTGGGCTACAGCATCGGCAAGGACCGGCAGGGCGAGCTCGACTTCCAGCGCATCCTCGCCGTCGTCGACCCCAACAACACAGGTAACGTAGAGATCATGGTTCTTACTAACATAGAGAAACCAGCTTGGCTTAGCTTACATCTAATATTAATAACTTGATATTATACGTAGGTTACGTATCATTCGACGCGTTCCTGGACTTCATGACGCGGGAGTCGACCGACACCGACACCGCGGAGCAGGTCATCGACAGCTTCAGGATTCTCGCCGGCGACAAGGTAACAATACCAGCCATTTCACTTGGCACGTCAAAAACAAGACTACTCCTAAGCCAAAAGTGCCAACTCAAATATAGGGTATTAGACATCGTTATTGACCACCCTTTCTTCGTTTTCTTATTTCTATTGAAATCCCTTTATTGATTGTATCTCTACTGTTTGTATTACAATACTAGCTTTTTCCCACGACTCCATCCGCAAGAAATTAAAATTAATGTAAATAGCCTATCTGTTCTTTCAGACTATGTTCTACATTTGAGCTAAATTGTATCAAGATTTATTGAGACTTTCTGGAGATATCTTTTAACAAACATCCATCCATCAATCCTAACTGCCACATTTGTAATACTAGTAATTATAATTATACATGATGTGTTGTGTGCAGCCGTACATAACTGCGGAGGAGCTGCGACGCGAGCTGCCCCCGGACCAGGCGGAGTACTGCGTGGCGCGCATGCCGGCGTACCGCGCGTCCGGCGCCCCGCCCGGCGCGCTCGACTACATGGCCTTCTCCACCGCGCTCTACGGCGAGACTGACCTCTAGGTACACACAATTACTTACAATAAGCCAATTTACATATTACTGGGAAAGATTGTTTTATCTCTATGTTTTTGTACATATTGAATTATAGTTAAGATTGTAGTAATTCGTGTTATTCTCAATATACATATAACACTCCAAAGTGGATAAGCAAGAAACCTTTATAAGTGAGTCGTTGTCCAGTCCTGATGAACATCAACCATAAGCGAGAAACTTGACTTTGGGGGATAATCCTTGAGCTCAGCCAGGTTCAACTGTATCATGTTTTATTAAGAACTCTTTTTTTAATTTTTTAATCTGCCTTCTGTTGTGAATTTGCTTAGTTTAACTTTCATTTACTTAGATCCAGGTCTTATCATCAGACGTAACCTCCACCCGGGAGTCGGAACAGCAAGGGAAGTGAGCAGAGGGTCGTCTCCTGCACCAACGTGCAATGTGGCCCCGCTCCGTAGCGACTCACAAAAATTATTTCTCTCATGTTGGCAAACATCTCATAAATTACGCCCTAATCCATTGCCAACATAGTGCAAACAATTTTTGTGATATATTAGTCTTATAAAAAAATCAGTTCTGTATCAAATACGTGCAATGTTAAAACCAAAAAATGTCATTAACTCTCTTACCAAGAAAATCTCTTGTTCTTTGTGTAATCTTTTGGCTCAAATCAGAGAATATCATATATGTCTACAACACACTATTTATATAATTAGATTTAGGTATTTTTATCTTTTATACAAAATTGTCAGGAAATGTCACAAAACATTTATTTGTAAGTTAAAACACGGTGCTAATGTTAGGCTTCACTAATGTGTCACACCAAAATAAGACTCATAACAAAATGTGAGGATGTTTTTGTTAAATATATATTATTATTTTTTTTAATTTTTAAGCATACATTATTTATACAAGTTCAAATTTTAATTACTGCCATTAGTTGGTATGAGATCATGATTGTTTCTTAAGTAGACAAAATCCAATAAATGTTGCAGGGAAGTGTCATACAAATTATTTATATCATAGAATGCCATACCTTGCCTGCATCTATTTATCACCTGAATATCAGTTTTATAAAAACATCGTTTGTGAGGGTATTTACGATTGAGTACTCTAAATAAATGATCTGCCATATTTTTGTCTTTTAATATTTTTTGACTGTGTTGTTAATCCAACCTATAATTTTATGATGAAACAGTGGATGTAGATTAAGAATAAATTATGTGCCCAAAAAGTATACTAACTCGAATGTACAGCTAATTTAATAAAGAGCTCTTAAACAATTCATTTTATTTATTTCATTTTTACAAACTTCTATACATCTAAGATAGCCAATTACCACAAAAAAAATGCACAATAATTATATCCTAAACTATAATATCTAGAACAATAATAAACCTAATCAAATTTTTTATTTGGTTCAATCCGACCATGCATTTGATAAAAGGTCTTAAGGTTACGAGGCAAAGTAAATCAAAGAATATCATTTGGCTCAAAACAAGTTACAATAATCAAATATGAAAATGAACACACTAATAATAAGTAAAATATTCACTGTTTGTTGTTTAAATAAATATTTTACATATAAATAACTAAAGTACAGACAGATAATATAAAATCCAAATCATTGAAAGTTGACAATAATGTAATATTGGTAGACAAAGATCATAATTTGAAACTTTTAATATATATTTAAAATATTACTAACATATTTATTTTTTAACATTGTAACATAACAATGAAAACACTAGAACATTTTAAAATAAAATCATCAGACTGAGTTTGAATAAAGATAAGATAAATATATTTAAACACTGGCTCCTAATAATTGCAACTTAGTTGTACTAAATTTAATAAAACTTTAAAAGAATATTAAAATTATTTGGAGCTAAGCTGTGTTTTGATTTTGTAAAGTAAAATTATATAAAAAAAAATGTTTTTGTGCTTTTGATAAAATTAATCTGTACACAAAATAAATGAAACACATAATATACTTGTAACCATTGAATGCAATAAATACTATATATGTAATTTACTCAAGAAAGATCTACCTCTCTATTCCTACTTCTTTTCTTCCTTCTTGGATTGTTCAGCAGTCAAGAGAGCACTTTGTATACCAACTTTTTTCAATTCCTCCACCAATTCACCGGACTGATGCATTTGAAGCATTATATCGCAGCCGCCAACAAACTCCCCATTAATAAACACCTGTGGTATTGTTGGCCAGTTTGAATATTCTTTAATACCTGTAATTTATAAGTTCCACATTTTATTTACAATAAAGTTCTATTACTAATATTATAAATGTGAATGTTTAGATGGATGGATGTTTTTATGAAGGTATCTCTGGAATGGCTCGACGGATCTTGATGAAATTTTGCAAAGATATAGAACATAGTCTGGAAGAACGGAAAGGACGGTCTGTGCGGACAGAGTCACGGGCGACAGCTAGTACTGATATATCTAACCCTTGTTCTTGGACATTTGTAACTTTCAAAGATATTTAGGTGAATGTATCCACAAATCATAATCATTGTTATCTAGCAGATTGATAGTACATAGAAACAGTACAGCATTTCACAAGTTTTACATACTGTTCAATTCATGCCTTAAGTAGTAGTTTCCATTTTACAAATAAATTCTAGACCACTATTTCAAATAATTAGTAAAATAGTTTAACAAATTCTAAGCGCAAAAGCCATCAGATGTCAAGTTTAAACATTAATACAATTTTTACATACTTGACTATATGAAGAAAATTATTTAAACATCACTTTAATTAAATAGTTTTATAACATAATGACATAAAGAGAAACAACTATTATATAAGTAGTTTTTTAAGACGGTATAAACTAACCTTGTCTTAGATTTTCGTCTGAGAGGACATCATGACTGACGTAAGGAACAGCATGCATCCTCATAATTTGAACAACAGCGTTGCTAAATCCACACCGCGGCGCATCAGGTACACCTTTCATAAATACTACGACCTTATTATCCTTTACTATTTTATCTATTTTCTCGTTTATATTAACATCGGCAAATGTACGACATGATGCTCGAATTGTACTATTAAATAATGGTCGGAAACCCTTTCTTATTAGTGTATTCATTTTAAAAGTCTTTGTAAGAGTCTAAATGCAATTGAATTAACTGTTTTAAAATAAAATTCAGTACTTTAATTCTACAATTTCAATCACTATTTTGCACTCTGCAAACTGAAAATATCAGATGTCATGTTAATGTCAGTGAAAAATAAAAATAATGGAAATGTCTATGACCAGTTGACTTGAGTTCTTGCCAGTCACAGAAGTTGGATATCTAGGTTCAGCGAAATGGTTATAAAATTTAAATAATTCACACCATAAAAATGGTATTCTGATCGCTGTAAAGTAAAACGAAAATAATTTAATATCCTGAAGAACCTGGAGAGATAATTAAGACTTGCTTGAAATAATTATCCTTATTTAAATTTCCAATTTGACTTTTGCACCATAAACCGGTATAATCTGTGAAATCAAATTACTTTGCAGGGATTCTTTTTCATTTTTCTTCTTCTCTTCCCTTTACTTAATTTATCTGTGGGTCTCAATCAATTTGATTTTGTCACTTCAGTATTCTTCTATAGGTTTATTTCATTTACGTACATTATTAAACATTAGTTAATTCAATTTGGCCAAATCACAAAATGGAAAATGCCGAAGAAGTCTTTCATTTATTAGAAGAATTTTCAAAACGTAAGCCAAAAACCATACCTCAAGAGCTAAACGATTACTTGGCGTATGTAGCACGTACCGGTGATCCTGTGTATCAATGGTCACTTGTGAAATGTTTATTCAAGGAGAAACTATTAAATGTTATAACTGATTTCTATGAGACAACTCCAGGTATTGAGATACCGCCGTATCCTAATGTGGATCCATTCAATTACGATATTATGAAAAATAGTTTATTGGAGAGGCTCGACAGTTTTACTTCAGCGCCGTTTACAATTCAACGAATTTGCGAGCTGCTAGCATTTCCTCGTAAGCAGTATAATCGCGTAGATAAATTTATGCGAGCAATTGAGAAAAATATCTTAGTTGTAAGCACACGAGAGCCCGGCATACAACGTCACATCGAGCAAGAGAATGGTGAACCAATGGAACCTATTGTCAACGGCTCCGACAACAATTCAGAATATAATGTAGATGTTGAAATGGAAGATGTATCATGGAAAGAAAATTCAGAGCAAAACAACACTGACCCCCAACCAAGTTCTTCAGATACACATATCTCTGTTGATAACAATGAAGAGAAAGTTCATCCAAAGCTGGAAATTGAAATGGATACCCAAGAAAAATTAAGCCATGTACAAGAACCTGCTGAGACAGAGAACTCATTACTAAGTAACACACCTCCTCCGCAAGAACTAGAAAATAAATCCAGTGAAACTGTCATTTCAGAATCAATATCAGATACTGCAGAACAGCCAAATGAAGAATTGAACAAGGATTCAAATCTTCCATTATCAGCAGTCAAAGAGGATGACAAAATGAAAACAGATGAAGTAGCAAGTGTATTGATTGTACCAGAAATTAAAATAGATGATGCTGAAATGACAGAGCAAAAACTTAAAGCTCAATATGATGAAACAGTTGAAGTTGCTAAAGAAGAAAGCAAAAATGAAAAAGAGATTGAAGATACTAAACCTTGTGTAGATCCTCCGCAAGCAATTAATGAAGACAGTTGTTCAAGTTCAAATAGTAAAGAAGATGTTAGTGAACCAAAAATTATTTCTGAAGTGTCAACATCGAGCGAAGAGAGTTCCTCGTCAAGTGATAACACTGATGGCAATAGTAACTCACCAAGAACTGATCCTGAATCTCATACAGATGTTCAAGTTAGTCCAATCATATTAGAAAGTGTTAAAGAAGTTGCTAAAGAGGATGAAGAGAAGATCGATGAAACACCATTACCTAGTCCTCCAGTAGAAAATCCAACAAAACCGTCGATTCAAACAGATAATTATTCAATCAGTGATGTTAACTCGGAGATACAACAAATACCTACCGAGGCATTTACCAAGTCAGATGATATCAAAGAAAGTGATACTGTCGAAGAGAAGACTGAAAATAAACCAGAAGAAACTGAATCACAAGAAAAAACAGAAGAAACACAATGATTCATGTGATACAAAAGTGTTATTGTCAATAACTGTGGCTTATTTTGAACAAGTTTTTTATCAAATGTGGCTCACTTAACATAAGTTTAAAGACTTGAATAAAGTATTAAATGTAGCGAAACAATGTTATTTCTGTAATTATTGTCACATAATGCAAGGTATCATTGAAGAAAGTTATATTAAGGAATTCTATGATACTAATGTGTTTAATTTACTGAAGATTCATGTATTATCTGGCTACCTAATCGGTTATTTTGCATAGAGTGGAGTTTGTTTTGTGCATAAAGACAATGTTTCTCTAAGTGGAACACTGCAAAGTGCCCTGACTATACAGGCAGATCCATAATTTCAGTGAATGTTTTGTACCTTGCATATTATATCTGAAGCTAACACACTCAATGCCATGAAACACAAGTTCTCTTTAGTAAATCACATCTCCTAATTTTACATTACATTCTCTAACTTGTAATGTAGAGTAAGGCATTATTAATTTAAGGAAAAAGAGCAGGTTGTTTGTTCATAAAATGACATATTTCTTTCGGGTTTGTTATTTAAGAACATAGTCAATTTTACATATTTGTAATCAAACCTAGGATTTGAATTTAAAAGCTAAGCTAGACAATAATGCTTAGTATAAAGCCAATTGTATTGATTAGTTTAATTACATTATTGATTGTATATGTGATGCCAAGGTTAATATAATTAGACGGCTAATAGTCTCAGTAATAACTTATGTCACTGGATTTAAAAATGTGCTAATGCTAAGGGGCTTAGGCTAAAATCCGTACATAGCTTTGCTCAAAAGGTACACAAATTGACGGACTGAGGTAACAGTTGACCTCTGGGTTTGATTTTAGTTTTCTTTGTATGATTTTACTGAGTATCATACGCGCCGCCCACATCGAGACAAAGCAAATCCGTTTATTACATGCATGCAGTTCGTCCGGCGCAAGTCAATGGATAGGCACCTTAAGAGTGAAATATAAGTATTAGATTATTTTGGCATTTGAAATTCGGATTATTGTGTTATGAATTACTATTATTTGATATTCTTTTTATGTAGGTTAAATATATTACAAAAACTCTCTCGTAAATACAAGGTTCTAATGATTTCCTTTATGTATGTTTTAAATGAATTTCATTTATTTAATAAGTAATTGAGAGACAGAAATCATAGACAAAGCCAGTCTTTTGAAAGAAAAAGTAAAATATATAATTTTATTTATTTACATGTCTATAAGTGGCTTTTCTAATGTACATATATCTAGTTGTAGCGATGAATACAATAAGCATCTGTTTCCACTGTTGTAATACCAGAACAAGATATTGTTATTGCTAATATTTTTATACAGGTGTTAAGGCAAAAAATAATAACATCAAACCAATATTTGTGAAAGCACTCCGATCTCTAGAGGACAAAACACTTTTTAATTTAAAAACTTATAACTAGCTAAGTACTTATTACTGGTAATCTAAGATAATTTGTAATAGAAAATATAGATATTGTTTGATTAGGAAATAATTTTATACAATTTAATATTTAAGAAAACTAAGTTTATATATAAATAAATGATTTCAAAATCTACAAAATTAGTCTTACAATTATTTATACACATAACCTATTTACAAAAATAACTATCAAATTAATTCTATCAACATATTTACTGAATCACTATTATACAAAAAAAGTCTGATTACCTACTTCTTTGAGCCGAGAACTTTAAGTTCATTTCTCAATATTTTACCCGCTGCATTTCTTGGTATTGACTGTAGAAATGTAACACCGCCTTCAAGTCGTTTATATTTAGTTAACTTTTGAGCTACAACGTCGTAGATTTGTTTCTCTGTGAGTTTATGGTTCACTTTAAGAACAACGAAAGCTTTGGGCAGTTCTCCGGCGAGTGCGTCAGGTATACCAACCACTGCTACGTCTGCAACTTCAGGTTGCTCCATTATCACGCTCTCTATTTCTGTTGGGGATACCTGTCAATAATATTATTCATTATTTCTTGCTAATTTTTAATTTAGACCTTGTTTCCACTAATGTGGATGCCTATTTTTGTCGCGGTCGCGACATTGCTTGTAATCAGGCTAATATTATAAATGTGAAATTTTAAATGAATGGTTTGTTATTACATATCTCCAAAACTGCTAAAAGGAAATCGTCGAGTTTTAGTATAAACGTAACATAAAACATAGTCTGGGAAAACACATGCACTAACTAATTCGCTTTTTTTTAATTCCGCGCGGATAAAATCCAGTGCAAAAGGTAGGTTTTTACCTAGCTTTTGCACTATAATAATGTGATTGCCACGTCGGGCAGGAAAGTCTAGGATCTGATGTGCCAATTCCAATAACGAGTTTATTTGCTTGTGAAAATAGTCGCACGGATCGTTGTATCTTTAGTGGAAAAGGATTTTAAGGTTAATTAAACTTGATGATACCTGGTTGCCTTTAACTTTGATGAGTTCCTTGGTGCGGTCGACGATGTAGAAGTAGTGATCCTCGTCGTAGTAAGCCACGTCTCCGGTGTGCAGCCAGCCCTCGCTATCCACCGTCTCCCGCGTCGCCGCCTCGTTGTTCCAGTACCCTTTCATTACCTAGGAATTGTTCATATTTGTATTATACTTTAGAGAGGTATAAATCTTAAAATAAGTACATATTTTGAATTTAAAAAAAAAACTTAGGAAAAAGTCACCCATGGGCGTCGCCAGGACACTTGGCCCCCCTCTACCCCCCTAGAGAATCATACATACAAAATCTTCTTCGGATAAGACCGCATTAGTTTAAAAAATCGAGAAATTTGGAGGTTTTTAGAATCATAATTTTTTAAACCAAAATGATCTAGGAAAAAACCGGATTTGAACGAATACATTGTAATTAAAATTACAATTTACCTGAGGTCCTTTAAGATAGAGTTCCCCAGAGTTGTGGGTGTGCAAGTTCTCCCCGGTGGTGAGGGAGACGATGCGCGCCTGCGTGCTGGGGACGAGCTGCCCCACAGAGCCCACTTTGTTGTATGGGTACTTGTATGGCGTCATCAACGTCACAGGAGAACTCTCTGTCATCCCGTAACCTGAGCATAGACAATAATATCGATGTAATAAGTGATAATATTACAGATAATAAACATTAAATATTACTAAACTAAATTTTTTCACTAAATAAAAAAGTGACATGAAAGTGACACATCCGCAGACACGCCGCGTTTTTTCCAGAACGGCTGGACCGATTTTGACGAATCTTTCACTGGAAGGAAGATATCCGGGAATATTGTAGGCTTGTTATTTTTTTTATACTGCGCTGACTAAGTCGCGGCCGACCGGGTATATTGAGTAAAAAAATGCACTTTCTTATACCTTGTAGCAATTTAATTTCGTCTTTAGTCTTTTCACACTTGAGCAGGAATTTCTCTAGCATACTGTCGGTGGTGGGGGCCGCGCCCACCATGATGGTCTGCACAGACTGCAGGTGCTCCTTCTTCACCAGGGGATGTGTGGCGAGGAAGGTCAGCAGAGACGGCACCACGAACAGTGTGGTCGGCTGCTGTTCTACTAGACATTTGATGTAGTCTTCTGGTGTGAATCTGAAATGACCAAAATATGTATTAGACGAATAATACTAGCTTGACCCTCGGCTCCGTCTGTTATGTTTTTAACTAAATTTTTCACTCGATTCAATCGAAAGCGCGGTATTAAAATTAAAAGCTTAATTAGTAGGCTATGCTTTCTCCAGATTATATTCTACATCTATGCCAAATTGCCATCGAGATCCATACGGCTCGTTTTGGAGATACCTTGTAACAAACATTCATCCATCCATCCATACATTCGCAACTTTATAAAGTTAGTAAAATACTATCCGAGATGTATTTGAATACAAAAAAAATGCAATGCATGCAAATGGAAATACAATGTGTATTTGTATATAAATGTTTTATTTATTATTATTTATTAATTGAACATACCTAGGTATAGAAACGATGTGGTAACCTAAACTTAGGTTGTAGTTGAGTACTGCATTGAACCCGTAGATATGGAAGAAGGGAGGAACCGTCAGGATTACGTCGCCGTGCCCTGGAACAGTGAAAACCTTAACCGTCAAATTCCACGGCCGAAATAACTGTTCGACAATGAGAACCTACCGTATAGTTAAGTTAACAATAGTCCAAACGACGAGTATCACTTTCTGGCCACATGACATCTTAATTTTTAATTGGTCTGTATGTTTTTTTGCAATAAAAAAAACGACCTAATATCTAATCTAAAAGCGAAATACAAAAAAATATAGTATGAAGTAGATTTCTAACCTTTTTCTCCTTCATACTTCATGATTTTTGGACACCGGGCCTGCTTCAAATTGGACACGAGATTGGTATGTGTCAGCATCACTCCTTTGGGCATGCCTGTCGTGCCACTGGAGTATGGGATCAGGCAGACATCGTCACAGTTCAACTGTGGCAGGTCAGCCGTGTGGTCCGCCATTAGAAGTGAACGGAAACCAAATATACCTGAAAATTTTATTACAGATTTATTGTAATAAAACACTGACATCCATAAATGGACTGGTGATAGGATGTAGTATTTTGTGCGCATTTGATCGACATTTTGAAGCAACTGCTCATGTTTTGCCCTGGACCTTCGGCACGCCCAATACTAGGAAATAACTTAATTATTTTTTATAAAGTTCACCTTTTTTACTATAGCATAATTAATAAAAACTATCAAAAGACAAACACAAAAAGATAGACTGAAAAATGCCATTATGTTAAAGTTCTTAAAATAATAGGTATGACTCTAAGAATAAAATATATGTTTAATTCACCTTTAACTTTATCATCTTCACCTCCCACCCAAATAGTTCCCTTGTAGTCTTTAAGGGACTTGCTGACCTCCAGTGCGACTGGCATAAACATTTCTATAGTCCCAATGGCTTTGACACCACAATCCGTAAACTGTCTCCGAACTTCCTCTGTTAATAAAAATAACCTTCAATAGTTGAATAGGCATTCACTAAGGTAGCACGTATGATCTTTCGGCCATCCATTTAATAAATAAGCTACATATTTTACTCGTTTAATACATCTTACTAATATTATAAATGCGAATATTTAGATGGATGTTTGTTAGAAGATATCTCTAGAACGGCTGCATGTATCTCGCTGAATTTTGACACAGATGTAGAACATAATCTGGAAGAATACATAGGCTACTAAGTTTCTTTTTAATTCTGTATCCGTTCGGAGTCTCAAGGGACAGCTAGATATCTAATAATCAAACGAGTAACCAGCCAATAATTTATCCTGAGGTTCCGAGACTAAAATCCCAGTCTAAAATATATTTTTATCTCTTTTTTGTCAAAGATAATAACTGGGATAACGATACAGAAATTTAGGTCTCAGAAACCAACGGAAAGACTAATAGGTTATTGCATTCAGTAATTCATACTGAAACCTATTAGAGACAGCTGCAACAATTAACAAGATGGAGGCTAAAGTACGCTGGTAAATTACGCCATACTACAATTAAAATCGTTAAGAGTTCATTCATGGTCACAAATTACATGTTTTTTTTGATAAGTGAAGTTATTGGAACCAAGATTTCTATTTATGTATTGAATATTGTGACTTTACTATTGAAACTCTTGTCATACGATTTTTTATCTAAAGAAATAAACATAATATGTCTAAATATAATATGCACCAAATGAATAATAATAAAACACAATACAATCAAAAAAATCTTAGGATCCCTTCAGACAAATCGGGGCGGAGATCGTAGCATGTTTTATATCGAAAATAACATTGATCTTTATATCAAAACAATGTTTAAAAGTATTTTACACTGCCATCGGGTGTAGCCCGCGAATCCGTCCGCGCGGTGTAAAAAAACATAATTAGTAGTCTATGTTTTCTTCAAGACTATGTTCTATATGTACCTATACCAAATTTCATCGAGATCCATTCAGCCATTCTGGAGATACCTTAAAACAAACATCCATCCATCCAAAAATACCAAATAAGTAGGATTAGTCAGATGAAGAGCAAGCGTAAAAAGTAAAATTAAACTTTATTTCAATCCTTTAAAGTTCAATTATACTTGCGATTATCTGCGTTGAAAACGGAGTGTATACGTACTTACCAGCGGTATACAACGGGTTAGCAAAAGTAACGACTAATCCTGCCCGGATAGCGCCGTGTATAAGCGCAGCAAATTCCGGGATATTAGGTAGTATTAACCCGATACGATCTCCGGGAGAAAGGCGCATGTGTCCCAGCAGAGCCATTGCACATTTCTCCACCATCATCCTCAGCATTCCGTATGGGTAGGAACGACCAGATACACCGCATGTCTGAATTATTCAACAAATAACGTTAGTGGGTTTTTATTGGCAGAAAAGTCTAACGTAATAAGGTCTAATTCTCTAAAAAAACCTTAGACAGTAAACAATTTCTTTGAACAGACGCAGATTGAAAGCAATCTTTTTATTATTTTATTAGCAAACTTCAGATCAGAATTAATAAAAAATTGCTGCTAAAAAGTACAGTTTTAGATTTTTTTCCAACTAAGCCGGTCGATTTTATAAATTCAATAGGTCGAATAGGAAAAAAACTGTTCGATCGATAGACCGAAACCCACATCTACGCTCCATATCATATTTTTAAGGAGCCATGAACAAACCCGATCATAATTACTAAAGTACTAAATTAAAATAAAGAATATGTTTATCTATCTAATATTATTTCCATATAAAATTATTGTTTACATAGTAAAATGACTTGGCAAGTGACTCCATGCAACCTTAACCTTCGGACAGTGACTATTTATATTAACATCTCAGTTTGTGTCCGCGTTCAGGCAAATATAGATTGCCGCGAACTTTGTACCGCACGATTTTTTTATTATCAACGTTCAAAGTTACGAATCAAAGGTTATTTTATCTGTTCTTGTGTTCTAAAAACTTTTCGGTAATAATGTAATCTAGAATTTTTATTTTATAATCAGCGTAAGTAACAGTCAGTTGGTTTACTGATTTTTTTAAATCCGATTTTTTTTTGGTTATGAAAAATAATTTAGTTTAGAGTTTAGTTTTTTAGGCAAGATAAATCTAATTATTTTTTTTGCGATATCGACATCAAATCTATTGCAGCGTATTTATATTTGTCTTATTAAATAATAATTAAAAAGTAAAATTAAATACAATTACCAAAAAAAAATATGAATATCGCCAAAAATAAAAATAAAAAAAAGTTACAAATAACGAAAAAAATTAACTTACCACAGATGGCTTGTCGTCCCATAACTCGTAATCACTAAACACATATTCAGTTAAAGTTTCATTCCCAACTTTAATTTCACCCCAAGGCGAATTCAAAATTTTGTTATCAAAATCGGGTGCAGTCTGCGTTCCGAATGGGCGGGAAAAAGTGCGGGAATTTGCAATCGACCGCCATGTTTTTTGTTTTCTGCAGCTTTTATATGGGGCGATTTTAAAAAACTGTTTGGCAAAAGAATCAAAGATTTTACTTAGGGACATGTTAAAAGAACGTATCAGTAGAAGAACGGCGCGCAAATAACAAACAAGCGGCTTGCGGTGGGTTTTGGCGCGCTCCACATACACCGTCATAGGGCAAGGTGCGCTTGGTAATTCATAAAGATAACAATCTTTTTCATACAGAATCATAAAAAATCTAGTCGGAGCTATGTCCGTATCATTATTATATTTTACTAAAGTATAATATAATTTATAATTAAAAATTAATAAAAAAGGATATTTAAAACGGACTGAAAATTAGTCAAGTTTGGTTGATAAATTGTTCATAGACACAAATTTTTAGAAAAAAAAATTTGAAATGACTGAACACACATCAAACTAGACTTGAAGATTTAAAATTTTTATTAATTAATTATAACAATAACCTCCTTCTTTTTGAAGTCGGCTAAAAAGAGAGATAAGTGTAAGGATCGCGAACACAAATCAGATCTTTGCTCACATCTCTGAGTTACTGGGGTGAGTTTTACTTTTTATATTTACGTAACAAATTTAGGTATTTGATGAAATATTAATTTATTGTAAACTTGACTAATTACAAATTTTAAGACCGAATCCGATGGAATTGAGTTATCAACGATATTATCAATGTAATTACTCATTAATATATTATTAACAATTTTATTACTGTACCTAAATTTCCATTTGTACTTTGAGCAATATCAAATCTACTTATATCTTATCAAGACCTTTGCAAAGAAAACCATTAACACGCCTTAACTTCGTTTCATTATTTGATAAGAAACATAGATAGACAGATCAAAGGTTCCCTACAAATTAGACTAACGCGCATAACACAAAGTGCTAAACAAAGATTTGGGATGGATTACGAATTTATTTCTGAATATCATTTAAAAAATGAAAAAAATAAAATAAAAATAACAACACGTATTTTATTCCATTTCACTATAACAACGTAAGCCAATACCCGTCAAACATACATTTAAAAATATTTATACATAATAATTTTAATGCAATCACAATTGCAACGTTTAAATTAAAACAAAATGTACATCTAGTTCAAAACATATTATTTAATATGCCCTTAATATAAACCATAGGAATAATAAAGTTGGGTAACTATGAGTTTTCCACTTTCGATTTAAAAAAATCGATTTTGAAAAAATAGTAGGGGTTAATTAGTTCCCTCGTTGTTTTAATGTACGGTCTGGAAATATCACTTGAAAAAAGCAATTGCTAATTTAAAATAGTGTAAGCATATATTACAACAGAATTTAATATTACCTAAGAAAACTGAGTATATAAATGACACCAAAACCAAATAACCAACAAGTTAGAAAGAAAAACTAAAGATTTCAGTTTTAAAACTGAAAGTAAAATTAATAATTACACATTTTTTTTTTACTTCGCTTAGAACTGTCAAAGGTCAAACAGTTTATCATGTAATAAAAGCCATCAACAATATTGAATATCTACTTGTTACTTCAATTTACGAAAAAAAAAGTAATAAAAATATTCAATATTGTAAATAAAAAAGGTGCCATATTGGCCACGAACATATCTCTGACATTACAAAATGTCAACTGTAGCTTCAAAATGGCGCGAATATTACTATCTCTGTTATTCACAGCATATGATGTATATGCATCTCGCTCGCATGTCGCATGCTGTCTATTGCACAATTTTATAAATAAAAATAATTTTATATTAGACCTCCGTATTATTTGACTTTTTTTATAAAAATATTTTATCTAGAATTTGATATGAATGATGAATTAACATAATTTTTGCAGCATTTTTGTGCATTAAAAATATTTATTGAACATTTATTTACTTTACATATATTGTACATATTCAGAGTATTTCGTTTTGAACCACACGCTGATTATCTTTGTACGTTTGCTTTTCATTTTATATTTTGAACATAAATCTTGCAAGATTGAGTATATATTAATTTCCTGTAAATTGCTATAAATTTCTTATATTTTTAAATCATGTAAATTTATTCGTATTTTTTTTGAAAAAAAAAATATTTTAATATCCCAACATAAAAAAAAATAAATAATAAAATTTTCTAACAAATAACAATGTCATGACCATTAAATGTTACCGTCATTGTTTTTGTATTTCGCTTCTCTCTCTAGACTTTGATGCGAATGTTTGATGAGTGATAAGTTCTTTGAAGACGCCATTTTCTTTTGACATTAAATCTGTATATGTTCCTTGTTCAACAATACATCCGTTGTCGACAACGGCCACTTCATCCGCGGACTGTATGGTGCTCAATCTATGAGCAATAGTTAGAACAGTGCGATCTTTGCTTATATCTTTAAGCGCCTTGTCGACTAGAAATTCTGAATAAGCGTCCAACGCTGAGGTAGCTTCGTCGAGTATTAAGATTTTTGGATTCTGAAATAAAAATTAGCCTACTTTTTATCGCCATATCTAACACTACTTGACTTTAAACGGAAACGTAGATTTCATTGACATCACATAGATTTCACAAAATCCGATGATACATGTTTATTTATAACCATGTATTCGAAAGAAGCATTGTAAAATAAATATACTGGTCCAATCTGTAAAGTTTCAGATAAATATACTACAGTATACTAAAGGAAAAAAAGTTTTGAATAATCTATATTCAATGATTTTAATAAATTTAATGTCTATGCTTCTGTCAACTGTCACCTGTTTAATAAAAATGTCATATAATCCGTGTGGTATATTTTAATTTCTATCAAGTATAAAATAAGAATAAGAGTTTTAATCCAAGAATAAAGACCTTCATGGTCCTTTTCGTTCGTGGTTTACCAAGATAGTTACATTACATTAAAAAAGCATTTTAGGACATCCTGTATAATCGTGTTTTAATTTCGGAACACTCTCTATGTCACCTTGACGATGGCGCGTGCGATGGCAACGCGCTGCTTCTGTCCACCGCTGAGATGTGAGCCGCCCGCGCCCACCTCCCGCCGCCACCCCGCACGCGACGCGCCCATGTCCTGCAGCTGCGCCGTGCGCGCCGCCACCAGCCACGCCGGCTCCAACTTACCCTGATCATACATTTATACCTTAACAACTATCGCCTGCAACTCCACCCACGCGGAATTAAAACAAAAATCTTAATTAGTAGCCTAAGTGTTCTACGTCTATGTCAAACTTTACCGAGATCCATGCAGCCTTTGTGGAGATACCTTCTAACAAACATCTATCTATTCATGTATCGATCCAAACACTCGCATATATAGTGAGATAGTAAGATTATAAGGAAACAAAATTTATAATCAACGATTTTGTATCTTATTGTAACTAAATAAAATTGATTATCGCTTGAAAGATAAATCATGCTCACACGAAATATTTACTTCAACGGAATTAGCGATTGTGTATCTTATTCCAACGTAATAAAGTCGAGATTCACAAATTTTCTTTCAGAATTAAATCATTAATATTAGATACTAACAAATAATTATGTAAAAAGTTCTTACGTTAACTTCTATCATCTCCTCGCGATCATCGAGCGCGCCATATAATATATTTTCTTTTATTGATCCACTGAACAGAACTGGTTCCTGAAATTAAATTAAAAATAAAATAATATGTTGCCAGTAACAAAAATAACATTGTAAAAGTTCACATACCTGACTTACGAAACCAATATGGCTTCTCAACCATACTGGATCCAAATGTCTTATATCCACACCGTCCAACAATATCCGTCCTTCTTCAGGATCGTATAACCTCAAAATAAGCGAAGCTATGGTACTCTTGCCGCAACCAGACCGACCCACTAGAGCTATCGACTTGCCTGGAGTCAGATGTAAATTCATTCCCCTGATTAACGGAGCTCCTTGATACGAAAATGTCACATTTTCTAATAATATTTCACCCTTCGGTCTTGTCTCTGGTCGGAGGCCACCTGAAGATAATGGGTAAAAGCTTAAGGTTACCAATTAAGTGGCCGAGGGTTCAAATTCCAGCATTCGAAATTATTCGTAAACCATATTCTAGCACAACCATAGAGCTTAGATAGAATTATACAAAAGAAATTAGTAAATTATCAATATGTGCTAAAATTTTATGAAAAAATTATTACGCGTACACTAAACATGGTTTGTTAAAAAAATAAAGTACATAAAAGATTCAGATTACATATAAGAATACTTGCGTCACTACATCCATTTGTTCAAAACATTAAAAACGTAAATCGACAAAAATAGTATTACTACTACTTTTAGTATTAACTTTAGAAATAGTAAGTATTCGTAGTAATAAAATACCAACCTATTGAAGGAATCAAAGGTTTTCTGTCCATTATCTCCCACAATCGTGTCGCAGCGCCAAGACCTTTGTTCAGCTCGGTATAGAACCCGCTCAGTCCTCCTATACTAATGCCTACGTAAGCTGCATAGAGTAGGAACGACGTCAAATGACCCACTGTCAGCTGTTCCGTAGCCACCATACCACCGCCGTAGTACAACACTAATAATATTATCGTATTCCCCGCAAGTCCTGTCTAGGAAAGAAAAATATTATTTTTGAAAAGAAAAACATATTTTTCGATATATTTGAGAGAGTAATGTTTCTCCTTTAGCACAACTTGAAAATAAATAAAAACACGTCTCCATACAAGTGGGTATTTCGACATTTTTTTAAATTTTATATTGCATCTAAATTAAGGGTAAAAGTTCAATTCAATTTCTCTCACAATTTCTTTGTCTATAGAACTCGAATTACTATTCAAGGTTGCTTTTGCTAGTAGACGAGGAATAAAGATTTTACTGAATTTATCTCTTAGAGGTTAAAGTAGGGGATGAAATTTTGTATTGTTGGGAAGAAAATCCGACACTGTGTCGGTGTACTGGCACATTAGCCTTACTTTATGTCGTATTTGTTGACGTTTACGTCCCCTCACTAATCTATCTGACAATTGACTTTGTTATGAAAGCGCGCCAGAGGATTCTAACTAATAATGTCTAAAAGTATTGTGAAATATTTTTCTACGGTAAAGTTATTTGAAAACTAACATTTTCAGGACAAATGATTAATTGCCCTTTGAGATTACGTAGCATTAGTTTGAAAGTGTACTAAAATAATAACTAAAGAAACTATTTCAAGGCGTTTTCATTCAGGAAATTCATTCCAGTCCTATTAATTCGAAAATTTAAACGTTAATTAACACAACGCAAATGAAATCGCGGACATAGCTATTTATTGAACAAAACAATAAAGGAAATTATTCGTACCGTTTAGGTTTTTTTTTACTTATAAACAATGTTGTTTATTCATTTGAAAATTACGTAAATTATTTTTAATCTATTTTGTAAATCCTGAGCAGAAATTCAAGGCTCATACTATGAAAACAATGTCTGAGAATTAGACAATTTATTCCAAATTGTTAGGAAATAACCACAGACACTATATTAGTTACAATAGCATTACGTAATTTAGTTAAATATACATTTAAATAGTTAAGTATATATAAAAATGTTTATATAATGGAAAATTTTATATAAATTAACGTGCATTCGTATCTTTATTTTCCGTAGTTTGATATCTTTATCTATTATCAGTTCACAAATCTCCATAATGAATAATTTTTCAATTTCCGATGTCAAATATACTTATTCCCAAAAAGAATTGGTATTTGTTATTTCAAAGTATAAATAAGCTTTTATTTTTTATTTGAATTTTTCAATTACCCAGAATACGGACAGAATACTAACAATTTAAAGTAAAACAAAGATTTTGAGATAAAGAAATAAAGTTAAAATTAATCTATCGTGGCGTTGAAGAATATCCTAATTTTATTCTTATGTTTTCTTTTCCTTCCCAACTATTTCTTACAAGTAAAGGATGGGAAGTTGAAGTGGATTCTACCTTTTTTTTTCCAGAGAGAAATGCTCTATTCATACTCCGCGCGGTAGTTATGTGAGATTCTCCTCCATAACGGAGGCATACCCACTAAACCTCTCTGTTCCTCCAACGCATCGGGACGGGGCCACGGGCACGCTTTCGCTCTCATCCGCGACCGCAATCGATAGTTCGATTCGCCATTTCGGCGAATCCAGGTAGCATGCTCGGTTAGATTAAGGTCGGGGCAACGCGCTGACTAATCTTATCACGTTATTGTATTGCATATACACATCAATATTTCCGGAACTGTTGGTCCGAGCGTTATCTATACAATTGATAAGAGTCTCAGTCATATCGACTTATAAAAACCAATTTTTAACATTTATGTCTGACTTCCTAACCCCATATCTGCGTTAATACGGGTACGGTAGATGATAGGTGTGGATGTAAGTTAGGTTAATTTTTCTTTTAATACACTGACGATGTCGCGGGCGACAACTAGTTTAAAATAAAAGCTATGCTACGTGATAGAAGATATTGATCTGAAATCTTCATAGCAAAGTTTCCTTGTTTATAATTTATCTTATAAATTCTTACCATTCCGTAGAAACTTCCAACTGCCAAGGATTCTTTGTACGCCAATTGCAATACTGTTTCTATTCTTTGAGCGTAAGATTCACATTCCTTCGCCTCTTTACTGAACGCCTTTACTGTTTTTATATTAGAAATCTTCTCTTCGGCTAACTGGAAAAATTATATTACAAAATTAAATAATAAACAAATAGCCAGTAGACACATAATTTTTTAAGTTTATATATACACAATCTTACTAATATTATAAATGTTTTGGATGGATGGATAGATGTATGTTTTAAGGTATCTCCAGAAGAGCTAATGGAATCTCGCTAAAATTTAGCATAGATGTACACAGACTGGAAGAACAAGTACCCTACTAATTATTTTCTTCTTTTTAATTCCGCGCGGACGGAGTCGCGGGCGACAGCTAACACTACACAACTCCTTATTTATACATCTTTTAAAATAATAGAATAATATTTCTTATAATATAATTGTAATCATATAATGCATCTTGTAATTTGCATATAATTCCTTACTTATACGTAAGTTTTACTATAAGATTAACAAAGTAGAAAACGCATTAAGGTGAGTATACACCAAAGCATTCACTTGTAACGGAACAGAAGACTATCACAAAACATTGCTTTCTAAACTGTGCTCTTACTTATATTATAACATTCATAAGAAAGTTTCATTATATAGAAATCTTGGGAAAATGTTCCAGTGTATATTCACCTTTATAATTACCAAAAAATTATTAGTATTATAAAAAGTAGTAGATAATTTGAATTTGAAAGTGGAACATGATTCAGAATAAATCTATTTCAAAGAGTCTACAAGTATACATAGAGTAGGCATATTACCTCACTAGTGTCAGCTAAAGTTTTCTGCAATTGCCTTGTTATACTGCGGACGAACCTGCCGTATATCACCGCTAACATAGACACGGGTGGTACCACGCACAACCCGATAAAAGCCAATGAAGGGGACATGTAAAACTAAAAAAAAAAATGTATAATATATGTGTATCTTTGTATGTCCCACATCATATCGAACGAAATTTTCACATTCAAAACAATTCTATAATACTTCTAAAAGCATCATGTTTTTCTTTTAATACTATTTTTTTTACAAAACATAGACAAATTTTATAGCAATTTAAAATTTAATATATTATTTTAATATATTTTTTTTTAAGTATTACATACTTTAATATAGCCTTATAAACACATCAGCAATAAAAAGACTTGAAAATTTCCCTCTGCCTATGTTTTCTTTTTATTTATCTCTCCATATTGGATAGTCAATAATATAAAATTCTCACCATCATTCCAGCACCAGCTATCGTCATAAGTAATGACCGTAAGCCATCACTGACATTCTGACTAAGGTTCCTCCCAACTAATTGAGTGTCAGCAGACAAACGGTTGACGAGCTCCCCGGTCGATGTCCTATGAAACCAGGCCGGCTCCTGACGCATTATTGCAGCGTACGCTTGTTTGCGCAGTGCTTGAGTCATCCTTTGACCTAAAAGTCAAGCTTTTGTCAAATTACACCTGCTTTCAATATGTTATAACTTCGCAACTTTTGTGCAAATTGTAGTGGGAAAAGCAGCAATTACTATTTTCGTATTAAGGCTAGTTTGGAGTTAAATGCAATCGGTGTTATTTCCTTATGAATAGAAAAAAATTCTAGACATATATAGTCCGACCTGGATAAGCTAGAGTACAAGGAACAGCTATATTTTTCTCATTTTAAGAGGTTTCTCTCAACCTGAGTTTTATTTAATGGAAATCGAACAATGCCTAGCTTATAGAGGTTTCTCATCTATCCAAGTGTGACTTTAAATAGTAAACACAACATTTACTGAAGTTATCTTCAAGGCCTACATCCAGCAGTGAAATAATTTAAGCTTATTATGACGATGATGATCTTCAAGATGTAAATGTATATTTTTATGTGAGTAAAAAATAACATAAACTTACCTGATATTGACATTAAATATACTCTTCCAAAATTACATAAGCCACCAAGAATAAATACTCCACATAACATTAAACATAAACTATCAAGTCTCTCTGTGGTCGCACCAAGGTCATTTGTACTGCTATATATTATATCTAAGACTTTGCCCAAGGAAAATGGAACAGCTATTGTTACACTCGAAGATATGATCAGGAAACCAATAGCACCTGGAATAGAATTACTTTTATTATAGAGCTTAATTTACTATTTTTAAAATACATTAGGTTATTGGGACATATTCGTAAGTGATTTTCATGAATATAAAGTTAATTACAAATAATTTAAATTATTCTGTTGTGAAACAACAAAGCACCCATCAAAAAACAATTACCTAGTACTTATTTGTATTTAATAAACACATAACTATCTATTTTATTTATTATATTCCTGGTATGAGCTGTTTTAATCTAATTATATAATTAACAATAGGAAGTTACTTATTTGATTTCAATTTATTTGTCCTAAAGACAAAAAAATATATAAACAATTCTGCCAGACTTGTTTTGATAGCTACATAAAGTTAGATAAACTTTAGTGTTTTTCTGTAGCCTAATCAATGAAAGGTTAAAACAGATAACTTATATAGAAGTTAGTCTTAAAAATGACTTAGGTCTTATGATAAAGGCAAAAGATGTTTTTTGGGAGCACTCAGATAAAAATAATCATACCATATTCATAAAAACAACTCGGAATAATTTAATGTCTTTTGTACATTAAACAGAATAATAATACATATTATAGATGCATTAAATATGACTTAAGCTTCCTAATCTATTACTATATTTAGTAGCATTTACTAACTTTGTTTTAAATAATTTATTGTAATATTTTTGCGTGTAGTTATTAACATATTCATAACAAATGAATGTGAAAATGGTACAAATTTTTTTATTTAATATTTCTTTTGATGGGATTCTGTTATGTACATTCTGTTATTATTATATATCAGTATATCACTTTGGAACTGATTGTATGTCCCATAAACCTACTTTCTCCATCTTTTTCAACAATAATGGCCTTTTTAGTATTACTAATGTAACCATAGTAATAATAGACATAGTAATATAAACAAAGTTTAACTCTGACCTGTATAGAATACTTTAAAACTATACATAATTATAACACAAAATCAATTTTACTTACCAGTTAATGTCCACTTTTCAGGAGCAGCCAGAGAAAATAAACGTTTCACTTCTGAAGTTTTAGATTTCAAATCGACTTTCTTTGATGTGCCTATCGTAGTTCTTAAATGAACACTTTCAAGTTGAGCATTTTTTCTTTGTGTATCAACCTGGCTACTGTAAATTCTGGACTTTAAGGACATTAACCCGCTTCCTCTTATTGCAGTCCTTTCATAATAGTTTCTTAAGGCTGAAACTTTGTGACTAGAATACAACCTGAATCCACAGTGGTGTCTAGCTTGGCTCCGAAATGGTATTCCAAACAGTAAAGGATTATGTCTGTTACATACTTTAACATTTAAAGTTACATGAACTAATCTTTGTAACATTTTGTACGTACTTTTTAAAACTCCTAAAAAATAAAACAAACATCTGTCTGTCAGGATGAAACACAGAAATTAAATTGTTAGATTATGAAATATATGAATTAGAACTTCTGTCCCGTCATTGTCACTTGTCATCTGTCAATCAAAAACTGTCAAGTGCCAACTGTTTTTTACATCAAAGATTATCCACTAATGTTCTATAAACAAAAAAATAATTTCGACAAAGCATTGCAGATATAATGGTGGTGGGAAATCATAATAAACCACCGCAATCTCTGCTGTAAAGCTGCAAAGTGTTTCGTATTTATCACAAGTAAATATGTCAGGTTCAAAAAAAGTTTATAGCAGTTTATAGAACTGCCATTGATAAATATTGCCATGTGCAAAGTTTCAATTTCTACTGTGGTTTTTTTCAATCCATTCCAGACATATTTCCATTTTCCTATATTGTTACAGCTAGGGCACATCCCGAATGTGCTATTCTTCAAACCTTTAATGTTTGAAAATTCGTGTAAACCCGCCTCATGGTTATAAAAAAATAGACAATTACATGCGATCAATAAATGCTCATTTATTCTCACGGGATACGAAATCCGCTTAAAGCAGTACATATAACGGACATGTATATATTTTACATAATAATTAGTATTATTTTACAATTTTCATTTCACAAATAAAATATTCGCAATCAAAAATGTATAAACAAACATTATTTTTAGTTATTTAAAATTACATGTAAACAAAATAAATTAAGATCAAAATAAACATCTTATAAGTTCTTCATTGCAAACGCCTACAATACAACGAATTTGTGCCAATATAATCATTATTATGTACACAAATCATTTATTTATGTCCAAAAAATATTTATAACAACAAAAACGAGTAATTTTAATGCAGTTTTGAAATTCTGGAATTAATTCTATCTTTTAATCTATTTAATGGCATTAAGCCTTTCGTTAAGTTACATAGGAACAACATCCTTGACATTTTTAAGTAATCTGTATTTTGGGACTTATAAAGAAAAACATAGGTTAAATAACTGTTAGGTGAAACTTTAGGTACTGTAAGAATCTAGACAAATATCACACATTTACATTGACTACAACATATTAAAAACTAGATAAACACTACGCAACGACATTGAAACATACATTCATCTTTTCTAGATTTTTAACATTTATTACGAAATCTTTATTGTATGATTAAGTACCTATTTGAAAACTACACCCATCCAGATATAAGCGGTCAAAAGGTTAACAATGGCACAGAGTAATAAGTAATCGTGATTTTCCACAAGATTTTCTGTACAAAAAACATATTGTAATTCCTCTCAGATTATAAATAAGCTTTGAACTTAGATATAGGGCACCAAATTTAACTTATACAATGATAAGATCAAAAAACGTAATTATATGAATGTTTTATAAAATATATTTTTTTTAAAGTGCAACACGAACTTATGGAACCATAAATATACCTTGACACTTCGAAATTATTATCATAAACAACCATTAAGTGTAAATACGAATAAATGTACTTTAGGACAAATAAAACATAAAAATGTCAATATAGAATTACATAATTTTACCTTTTTATTTGCGTTACAACATTTATCTACAACATCTAATTTATACTTTACATCCATTTTAGACAATATTTTTTTTCTACATACAATAAAACAAAAGTTTTCAAATTTTTACACATTTAGACACAAACATTAATAAATTATTTATTTTATTTAATTTATGTATGGGAACTAAAATTTGCTTATTTTTTTCTCATTAAAAATAAATGACTCATAAATATTTATTTTACACTAATATTAAATTAACTAATAACATAATAAATTATTTTAATAATTAAAGTCATACATAAGTTTTGTTGAATTTATTTTTTAAATTAATAACTTAAAATAAATTGAAAATATATGCCTAAATAATAAAATACTTAGGTATCATGTTTATAGTATACTTAATTAAAATATATAAGCTCTTATTGCACATTTAAATAACATATCGGGCAATACATTTAAAGTATAATTTAACTTATAAACAACAAATAACTACATATATATTATGTTATACATATATCAATATATAATGTCATGGCTCTACAATGAACTATATTATATAAATTCATTGGGTGTAATATACTTTGTAGTACAATGTTTTTGATCGCCAGAGGCTGTATGAATTATCAAATTTTAATAAATAAACGCCCTCGCCGGGGTATGTGTGTGATCCAGCATACACCTGTCATTTAAATAAATAATAAAAAAGTTAAGATATTGTCTTTGTATAGAATAATGGATAGCGGGAAAATGTTTCATTTACAGATGTGTGCATGAGTTATTTGGCCTTTTATAATTAGAACAGGTCTGGGTCAGGGTAACTGTTATTACAAGTCTAATAGTAGGAGCATCGGTGGCTCAGGGGTTAAGCACTTGACTTGTAATCTAAAGGTCCTGGGTTCGAATCCCGCCATGTACCAATCTGTTTCCTGTTTTCAATTTACATTTATAGATTTATCTAATGTTCTTACGGTGAAGGAAAACACCATGATTCAATCTACACATATCAGCAAAAAAAAATTCAAAGATATATGTGAATTCCCAGGAGCCTACCACCCGTCCCCGTCTCCCGAGAGGCGGAGATTTGTTTGGCTACGCCAAATGGAGGTCCGTGATCTCTGCCTACCCTTCTGGCTCAAAGGTGTGTGTGAGTGATAAATCATTTGTGTTTAGTTACATACCTCTGTGTGGCAGTCGCGACGGTATAAGGGCACAACTTGGGACACGGGCGGTCGACTATGACTTTCTGCGCGCTGGTCACCACCTATCTCAGGGTCTGTCGAGTTCTCTTGTATTGTGAACTCTTGAAAATAATTAATGCTATATAGTCTCATTACAATAAGCAATAACCTTTTTATATCATAAGCAATCGAGGAAACAGTCACATGAACACACCACTATGGTAAAGCAACTGCTGCTAATAGACATCCCCATAGATGCATTGTCTACCTTTAATAGACGGAGGAGCGGACGCACGGAAAAATGCAATTTTCCAATCCTATGCGTCCCCTCCTCCTTCAAATCCCCTCTCCCTTCTTCATTCTTTACTTTTTTTTTTCAGAGGGGAATGCTTTATGCATACTCCGCGCCCCGGGGGGGACGCGGTAGTTATGTGGGATTCTCCTCCATAGCGGAGGCATACCCACTAAACCCGTCTGTTCCTCCAACGCATCGGGACGGGACCACGGGCACGCTTTCGCTCTCGTCCGCGGCCCCGTCTGCTTTCATTCTTTACTTACGAAAAGGGTGGGATGAGAAAGGAGATTGCAATTGGGCCTCAGACAGCCTGTCCCCGGAATAATTTCCATTTCACACCTGTTTTTGTTTTTTGTGTGATCGTGGTATTTCACCGGTCGAAGCCCAATTGTGGAATAGATGTTGTTGCTGGCTTCTACCACATTTAAAGCAGACTTGATTTAAGTAAAATAGAAAATTAACCTCTAACCCACATATAAAAAAAAGATTTATTCCATACACTTCCTCGCTTGTCAAAATAATATAACTTACCTTCATCATCGCCACCATATCCATCATATTCGACGTCCTCTTCATCGCTATCTGACACGTGAATTGTCACTTCACTAGTTAGAGACTTTCTCCATTCGAAATACAGCCCGAAACCTGGAAAAATGTTTTATAAATTTTCTATAAATGGATGAAATCATTAAAATGAAAAATAATTTCTAACTAATTCTCCCTCATCCTATAGCCAATCTTTATTAGTGGTTGCCAGCAATTTCATCACCGCGAGATAATAAACATTTAGTCAAAGTTATTCCCGCACATATAACCTTTACCTACTTTCTAATAGAAGTCCCATAGAAGTCAGTCCATCCGTTTCAGAGATGACCCCAAAAAACGGACAGATAGACAGACAGACAAAACATTTATAAATTAGTTCTTTGTTGAAAATAAAGTAGATACATTACATGAAATATGACATTTATTTTCAATATTACATACAAACACTCCAATTTTACTAAAATACAAAGTAATTAACTTTTAAAAGAGTGACTTCTCAGTCTCGAGTGTGGCAGTAATGGACAATTAAATGAAACATTAAATCTGAGTGCGTCATATAATAGTTACCTAAATCGTAATTGTCGGAGGCGAACTCCCAGCAGATGCAGCGCGCGCGAGGATGTGTGGGCACGCGGATGGTGATAGTCTCACCCTGACCCACCCTCAGCCGGCCATTGCCCATGCGCGCAGACTCCTTGAACGACGAGATCTCACCACGGGTCCACATACGAGCCTCCTCCACTGCGGGGAACCCGTCTGGAATAGATCAAAATCCAATGTTAACGCAAGTAAATACTTTCAGTCTTGGTGCAGTCAAAGAATTAAATTCCTTTCCCATTTACAATTGAATACCCTACAGCTGTCACTTAATGTAATCATAAGACTAATGTTTCTGCTTACCATCATCAGAATCTTCTTCATCCTTTGATTCCTCATTGTAATGTGATATCTGTGTTTTCTCTAAAGTTTGCATTGACCTGAAATGAAATATTCACAAAATAACATCTCAAACATGTTACAACACTATTAGTTTGTTGAATAACCTCAACGGAAATTCTACATCAATGCCTTTAATAAGTATATCCCAGTGTTTTATGAAACAACAAATTAATGTCCGTCCGCCCGGATTAAAAGTAAACTTAATAAATAACCTATGTGTTTTTCTACTATTTACATCTGTGCCAAATTTCGTCGAGATCTGTTAAGATGTTCTGGAGATACCTTGTAACAAGCATCCATCAATCAATCTAAACAAGAAGTAAGTTATAACCTGCTATTTTTTTTTCAGTCTTTCGAATAGCAGAACAAATTTTAAAACATTCAATGCCAACAATTCACCAGGCATATTTACTTTCAAACATTAAATCAGTGTAAGTGTTAAGTGTACTCACTTATTATCCACATCATCTCCCGCATCATCACGATTCAGATTATCATCAATTTCTACTAAAGAATTATCATTATCTTTATCACTATCTTCTTTATTCTTTATATTAGAATTAGCTAATCTCTTATCAACGGCCAGCTGTTGTATATATTGTTGATAATGTTGATCTTGTAATTGCCGTATGAGGACCGCTTGCTGGTCAAAGTTGCCAGGGAACTGTTGCTGCGCATACTCTAGGAACTGATCGTAGGTCTGTGCGTTCAACGCATCTTTTATTCTTTGCCTATAAAATAAAATAATTATAACTTTCATCTATGTTTTAGGATTCCTCGAAAGGAGAAAACCCTTATAGGATCACTTTATTGTCTATCCATTCCATCCGTCTGTCTGTAAAGACCCTTTCCTCAGATACGCGTGGATGTATCAAGCTGGAATTTATTCTCAATATTTTGAATAACAAAGTAATAGCTTAATTATCATGACACTAGAGAAAGATTTTAAGGGAAATTATATTTCTATTTAAATTCGTTCAAGGCCTTATTCTACAAGATAACAAAATGGATTTCACATACATATAATATACCAAGGAAATAATTTACCATAGTATCAGTTGTTGGCAATAAAATAAAAATTATCTTACACTTGTTGTTCCTCTGTCAGCTTTGTGCTTTGTTGTTTTTGCTTTTCAAGTTCTATTCTATTCTGTAGTTCTATATGAGCCCTCTCTTCTTCTTGTCTCTTCAGGCTGTAAAAAACGAAACATAACTCAAATAATGCTTATCATATACAAGTGAAATACAAATTTCCTTAAGTATGATAACATTATTTAAATAAAATCATAAAATCTTTTGACTTACTCTTGTTGTTTTTTGGCCTCCAAGTCTTTTAGTATGGCCTCCAAATATGGTTTGAATAAAGGGCACAATCTGTAAAATACAATTTATTTATAAACCTGCTTAAAACAGAAAATTACGATAAAATAACACAAATTACGAACCTGTCCAAAGTATGTACAAAGCCTGCCATGGCTTGGAACTGTGACATTTGTCCAAGCGCTTGCCATGCCCCACGACGGTCTCTTCCAATGACATCTAGAACTCCAAGAGGTGGTGCAGAGTTTACATTCAACGGACCGTGAGCTATTTGCTGTGTGTAAGCAACTAGTTTTAACTTATCTTCATAACTCAGATGCATAGCTTTACCTTCCTTGTCTGTAATTGAATTGAAGGGAAATGATTTTAATAAGAACCAAGAAATATTTGATTTATTAATACTTAAATTAACATTTAGAGCAGTGAGGATTGTTAGTTTGAATCCTATCTTTGAATGAGGTATATTATAATTGTAAATGTGTTTGGATGGATGGATGGATGGAGAGATGTTTGCAAGAAGGTATGTCCAGAACAGATACATAGATCTCGCTGAAATTTAAAAGTAGAACAAAGCCTTGAAGAACACATAGGTTACTAGTTTTTTAATTCCTTGATGAAGTTACGGGCGACAGCTAGTATATAAGAGATATAGATGTTTTACCTATATATACCATGTGAAAGCCAGAATGGTTTACATTTTAAATACAGGGTATAGGTTAATTTTGTATTTGCAACCAAATAATATTAATTGATTGAGGCAAATTAATAGAGGCTTTAAGCTATTGAGATAACATATTCAAAAGACCGTTATGTCTTTTATTTGAAAGTTAAACTCAATATCTTATCAATTACACCAGTAATGTAATTGCAATACCATGTACTATAAAATTTTAACTTTAATCTAATCTGATATGACAATACAGTTAAAATATCAGTAAAGTTACTAAGTTTTCTTAGAAATACTAAATTCTTTTCACCATCTTTTACTTCTTATATTGAAATAATTAGCTCAAAAGATGCACTAACACAAAAAGACAAAATGCTAAAATTACTTTATTGCCAATCTTCTTTTTTTCTCAATACTCTCCAATTTTCATAGAATGTTGAATGTTCTTGCATATTTTCGTATTTTTTCAAATACATTTAATATAAAATATTTAGTTACAAAGTATATGCTGCTCTTAGCTATTTCTTCTTTATTCCATCAAAGTTTACAAATTTCATTCATAGTTTAAACTAATCTATGATGAACCATTTACGTCTGAAGATGGAATAGAAAAGGAATAGGACATCGAAGAAAGGTCTTCAAAAATTACATGAGAACAAACTGGTATAAAAATTAGGTGAGTACTCAAATAACAAAAAAAATGTATATCCTTGGATGTAATGTTATCAGTTGGCAACATAAAAATACGACAAGTTTTGAAATGAGAGTGTTAAATTAACGAACGTAAAATATGAATAAAGATAAAAATGTACCTTTATAGAATGAGAGTCCATGTTTGTAAACTTCTTTTAACGGCAAGCCCCATTTTCGTTCTTCACTTTCTAAAATACCTTGATCGGTTTCAAGAGGAACTTTTTCAGGATTCACTTTAAATGTAGTTTCAATTTTACTAGTCATTTTTCTATAAAATAATTTTCCGTATCAAGTACAACTCTGCGGTAAATGTTTCTTTATTTGACAAATCAATAACAGTGTTGCCAAAGATAAATCAGTAGTCAACATCGCTCCTCCAGAAATTATTGATTTCCGGTCGTTTCTAAGATGTAATTGCTTGGTATATTTTACACGCAGGATATAATAAAAAAATATTACATTTTCCAGAAGCCAGAATATTGATTTTTTGGCCCAATTTCCATTTTGGATGTATGTACTTAAAAGTCAAATTTGACATTTGACATCATTAGAACTTCTTGTCAGGCATGCGAAACTCTATTAGTCTATGCTACAAATTGAACGCAAACGGAGATCCTCCATCTTGAAAATTGTGTCTATCCCACTCATAAGTTTCTCTATAATTTTTGGGCTGTTTAAAAAAAAAACCATAGTGCATATGAATAAATTGTGATTTAAA